CTGGCAGTGTTTCAGACCCAGTGAGATGATGATCTTTGCTGGAATAAACATGATTGTAACTGTAGCTGCTCCTCAGTGCTGGCAGATCCATTTGCACCCTCTGGGAGAATCTTAAGATATTTAGCAGGAGTGCAGGAGGCATCACTCACCAGGACCTTAGCAAGGGCTGCTGCCCTTATATACTCATGCTCTTAACTCTTGCTGGAGCCTCCTCTTTGGGTAAATCAGGTGTAAGCATGGATCTAGAACAATATCAGTTCCTGATCCAAAAGCTGCAGCTAAACCTCCTCTCTGGGCTACAAGCTCAATGCAGATTTTCTAATACGGACACTAGTTAGGGTATTTTCCTGCTCTTCTGCTCCTCCCAGATCCTAGCTTTGTTAGTCTTTTGAGTTAGGTTTTAAAATCTGTGTTTGGCATTCTACGCTCTTTCAGTACTACTTTTTAGATAGCAACATTATTTTAGATAAATGTCATTACCCAGAATGGCCTTAAGGCCTTCTGTTAACTCAGAAAAGCATTCCACAGACCAAACACTGGGTCAAGAGGGTTTGGGGTTTTTTTGCTTATAGTACTTTCATTCAATTTGTTATGTTTCTGTTCAGCCCAACCTCAAGTAAACCTTATATAAATAAGGTCATGTTTTCAGTTCCCACAAATATATACAACACACTGCAGACAGAACCAACAAACTACACGCAACCTCCACTGTTTATTTAATACTCGTGTCACACACATTTGTGCAACATAACCACAAACACGAAGCACACAGGGATCCATTGGACTTCTTTAGTAAGAGAAGGACCTTCAGATCAGAGTTGAAGCAGTGTCATTGTGCCACCAAGGAGCCTTAGCACAGAGATAACCTCCTCCTCAAGGTGAGCTTTTATCACAGAGCATCAGTCTACTACTCACCAGTAAAGCTCGCAGTCCTTGGGCACTACAAGTGTTCAGAAAAGACAATCAAAAGTGAACAGTACCTAAAATCACAGCATTCATCCTTTTTCAATTTGTTTTAACGTCTTGATAATTTTTAGCTTGTCTTAATCTTAATGTGTCTGGTGGCAGAATGGAGCCTCAAATACGCAGCTTGCATAAGGACTGAAGTACAGGAAATCACAGTCATGTGGCCAGAAGGCACCTCTGGAGGCCTCAAGGCCAAGCCCCTGCTCAAAGCAAGGCCAAAGCTGATGTCAAACCAGGTTGCTCAGGACCTTGTCCTGCTCAGTTGTGAAAATCTCTATAGATAGAGATGTCAGAGCCTCTCTGGGCCACTGTTCCAGTGTTCAACTCCGTTCCCTTACACCTGGGTGCCTCTTACCTGTTTCCATCTTTCCAGCCCTCCCTTTTTGGAGTTTGAGTTCAGAGAAGCACTGCTGGATCAGCCAAGCTGCTTCCCTGCCTGCCTGAGTTCCAGCTCACCAGACGAGCCAGTTTTTGTTCTGTGAGCATGTTCTCTTGAGTTTCAATGCACCCTCCTGGTCTCCATTGCTGCCATTGCATGTTCCTGAGAGGTCCTGACAAACCAATTTCCCAAACAAGACAAATTCTGTTCTTCTGAAGGCCAGAATCTTTATTCTACTATTTGTCTTCCTTATTTCTCTTGGGGTCTTAATTCTAAGGTCCTGGAGTCACTAATGCCAAGGCTGCCCTTTACCTTCAATTCCTTCCTTTGTTTTTGAGTAACAAATCCAGCATTGGGGTCAAAAAAGAATGCTCTTGATGGCCCACAAAAATTGGTTAGACTGTTTTTATCCCACTGGGTGCTCCTCCAGAGAGCAGAGCAATTTTGTATTCCAAAGCAGCCCGTACCTACAACTGTGAGCTCCTTGTAGTTATTTAAAGCTTCATCTGCTTCCTCTTCCTGATCAGACAATTTACAGAAGGTGCCTGCACAGTGTTCCCCATGGCAGTGTCCCCACCAACTTTGAACCCTCAGCTCTCAGCCAACTCAGTGCTTATTCTAACAAGCAGGGGAAAGCTCCAGGCAAATATAAACTGTTTTGTGTAGAACACAACTTCCACTCATTTCCCTGTCTGATTTTCCAAAAAAGCTTGAGTCCTGCCACCTGTAATGTGCTGTGCCACGCTGTCCCTGTGTGCCTAAGAGGTCCCAGCCCTGCCACTGTGCTGGTATGTCTAATCCTCTGGTTTACTTCCTGAGCTCTATGTGTTGACACCCTGTGTTCATGCTCCCTTTCCTGGGCAAACAAATGAGCCTCCTGTAACCTGGTGTCCCTGGCAATTCTGTTCACCCCCAACCTTCCTTTATGTGTCTCTCAGGAACTGTCTCCATCTGCACAGGTCCCTCAATGGTGGATGTAACCTAGAGCTTAAAACATCTATTATCTGTAAAATGAACCATTCCCTGTTAGCGTGGCAGGCTGTGGAAATAACCAGCAAGACTGCACCCTCTGCATTCCTTGCAAATCCACAAAATTTAAGGCATTATTCTGTTCAAAAACCCAACTGTGATAAGCCAACATCATTATGTGGAAAAAAATGTTTTGGCTTTTTTGTCCTTAGTTACTACTGGAAGATTATTTTCCTTCTCTGTGTTTTTTTCAATAGGAATCAACATGTGCATTCCCGTTTGAGGTGCAGCAATGTTAAACCACTGCCCATCTGCTGCAGAACTCACAATCTGCACTGGAGACTCAGATGCTGTGAATTCATTTCCTGAACTGTAATTTGAAGGGGTCCTGCATTCTGCTGCAACTGACCAAAACTGAAACTTGATGTAGAACTAAATAATTTAGACTAGGAAGAATTTCTCATACTCAAATTTCTCATACTCACAGATCAAATTTTTCTTCCTGACCTTGGACAGGGCTGCCCAGCACTGTGACATCTGTTCCTTCCCTAAGCTGTTGCTCATGTGGGCAGTGAACAGATGCAGAGCTGGGCCATTACACAGACAGGGCAGGGGAGATGGTCAATCATCCTGGTCATATGATTGCTTAAAATGCAAAGCAGGATGGGATTTAAAAAAGGTAAAATGCTGACTAAAGCAAAATACTTAATATCTTCTTAAATATAAAAATGGTTGAATAAAATGGGCTCATGGACCTGCTTAATGGTTTGTAGTCCAGCTTCTTGATTACTCTACAGAGGTACAAGGCAGTACACATTACTCACAATTTTATAGGATTTTTGGATCAGCATCCACACAGCAGTGCAAATATGCAATTTCTATCTTAGATATTTCTGTTATTTTCATAACATAACATCTGAAATGACAGACACATCTACACCTCAGACCTAACTTTAAATAACTTCATCGTGTATGACAATTTGCCAACTTTTTTCAAGTACATAATGTTCCCACAAAATCAACAATTCAGTTTATCAAGAAAATCAAACAAATTTTTTTTCTTTTAGCTTATTGTCTTTGAAAAGCTTGATTACTTTGAATTTTATTAACAGAAACACAGTTTCTACATAAGAATTTTGTATTGGGGGCTATGTATTTCTGAGTTTTGAGATTTTATGTACTTCTACATACCTGCTTCCTTTTATGACTGAATTACAAAGGGCAACGTGATTTACAAATTCAGAATTAGAAATACAGTTTTGAAATACCACCAAGGGTATGTGGAATTAATGCAATATACCCATTTTAAGAACTATTTGCCATAGTAAATACAACTTTCATTAAAATTAAAATGAAAAAGAAGAAATGCTATGCCTGCAAATAACCCCTCATGTTAAAGCAATTACATTCTAGTTAAAACTCCAAATTAATGGTGTAGATTTGACAGTCAGAGCAATTCTGGCCTTATGCAGGCACAAACCAGCCAAGATTCAGAGCATGCATAATCAGTACAAATGCGTGGTCCTAGGATAACCTTTATTTAGTTCTGACAAACTGAGAAGTGCAAAAACTTTACTAGTTTTGTATGTAACTCTGTGTGGTGGGTAGGTGCATGTTTTGGAGAAGCTACTCCATCTCCAATAACCTGTGATAAATAACTTAAAGAGCAACAATTTTCAGCTCCCCTGATGTTGCTGAAAGACTGTCAAAAAAAAAAAAAGAATGTAAAGGCATGCACACAGGATGATAAACACAGCTGTGGAGAAATAGATAAGGAGGCCTACAGTGGGTTTTTAGCAAATTTTATATAACAAGAAACAACAGTGCATACACAAAGAAAAACTTCCAGGGAAAGTCACCTTTAATATCAAAGCATTCAGTGAATACAATCACTGAAGACCCCTCTTAAGAAACCTCCAGAACCATAAACTTCCAGTAAGAGGTGAATGCATGCATGTTAGTTCTAGGAAAGTGATATTTATATATTAAATAAGAAGCATGTTTTAATGAATATGTATAGTTCTAATGAATAAAATCCCTGTCTCACTCCAGACACAGAATAAATCTACTGTGTCCTCCACAAGTAAAGAATGCCTGCTTTCTAATACTTCAAATTGTATTAAAAAGCTTATTTCAGCCAATTTCGGTATCATCTGACAAGTTCAGCATTTAGCAACTTTTAATTTTGCTGCACACTTTTCTTGTAAAAATAAAGTGCTGCTGTCAGACCCGTGTGATCCCTGCTGCAGGAATCAGTTTCACGGCAGTTCAGAGAGAATGACCTGAAAACAACAGGCGCTGGAGCAGTGGGGACTCTACTTTGGGGGAGAAAAATGAGCTGCAGCCTACAGCTCCAAAGCCGGGGCTGACCTGCACAGCTCCGGGGTGAACACGGCCCATGGCCGGCACAGCATCACATCATCCCTGTTCGAGGATGCTGTTTATGGTAATAAACTCATTCCAGGAGCAACGCTCCGAACCTGGAGCCGAGCGGTTCTCGGCCCGGTCACCGAGGGAATCAGAGGTAGGGAGGCCTCAACCAGCGGTCCCTGGGTCACTGCGGTGCTCAGCCCCACGGGCCGGGGGTGACCGCGGCGCTGCCCCTCGAGCCGGGGCCGCGGGTGCTCCGCCGGGCCTGGCTCTCCCCTCTCGTGTCCCGGGCAGTGCGGGGCCCGGGGCGCTCCGTGAGGGCAGCGCCGGCGCCACCGTCCCACCGCACCCTGCCCGCCGCTCCCCGGATCCCCGTCCCGGGCCGCCGCAGCGGGATGGCGCCGGGGCTGCTGGACCTGGTGCACTTGACAACCTGGGCCGTGTGTGCCGTGATCAAGCTGCCGCAGCTGGTGGCGGTGCTGAGGGCCGGCTCGGCGTGGGGACTCAGCGTGAGCAGCCTGCTCCTGGAGCTGGCCGGGTAAGGCGGCGGGGGCACACGGGGACTGCGGCGGGAGCAGGGCTGGAACCGCGGGTCCCCTCGGCCGGGAGTGCGGGGCCCCGGGGCTGCTGCGGCAGCCGGGGATTCATTCCTTCCTCCGCGGCTCAGGTCGGGCCTGAGGGTGCGCTGAGGGGCGGCCTGGGGGCAGAGCCGGGGCTCCCTGTGCGCTCGGTGGAGCCCTGCTCTCCCCGCTGAGGGGCGGCCTGGGGGCGACGAGCACTCCCCGCTCCCGCGGAGCCACATCGCCCCGCTCGGAGCTCAGCACCAGCCCAGCTCAGCCCACAGAGCCTTTCGGGAAGGAACTTCCTGTTTTAGTGATTCCGCTTTTTCATTTAAAGGGAAACTCGTCTTTTTTAACTTGCCCGAACCATCCCGGACCACTCATGCCGCTGCATACAGCAGCTGCAGAGGATGTAAGTCTGTGTTTAGGTTATTCGGTGGCCCGTGTGCCCTGTGGTGCAGGTAGCTGTACTCGTCAGACAGGCTTCCCTCACCCGAATCAGTAAGACTTAAATAATTCCTTAAGAAAATTACAAGCCGTGTCAAACTCCAAAGACTTGTGAGCCTGTAATGAGCTTACATGGGCTAGGCTTATTAAATCTTGCTTAAAGAGGATTGTATGAAACGACAAACAAATAAGCTCGCTGCGTGCACGTTCGGGTGTGGGTACAAGCGAGAGAAAGCACCATGAAGAGCCCTGACTTGGCCCAGCCGGGGCCTTGAGGTGGGCAGAACACTAGGAAAGAGGGTTTATCCAGAAAAATCCCCTGACAAAAACGGCGTGGTGTGTCTGAGGGTGCCCGTGCCGTGTCTCCAGGCAGGGCCACAGCTCCGTTTACAGACACCTCTCAGTGGAGCTGTGCGGGATCCCTCACGTTCCGCCGTGGCCGCTCCCCGCCCGCCTCTCCCTACAGCACTGAACCCGAGTTTCTGCTGTTTACCCTTAACACACCTCCGAGTAAACGAAGCAAACTGGAGCTCCAGCAGAGATGACTGACCTCACAGCCTCAGCCAAAAAGCGGTGACAACACTCCAATCATTTGCGTGCGTTGGTGTGCATTAAAAAGGTGTTTGTAAGTAATGTTTGAGATGAGCCTGGAGAAGCTGGAAATGTCTCTTCAGCACCTGTGTGAGAACCACGGTACCCACACAATTACAGGTTCTGGTCTTCTTTGAAACATTTATTGTATTTAGTAGACTGTTAATTCTCCTACCTTTAAATACTTTGAATCCAGTTGCAGGGAGCTGTGTGACTGCCACTGCAAGCTGGGCTGGTTCTGTGAAATCAACATAGAGTGACCAGGTGTGAGGGGTGGCACAGAAACATGATGCTGGTGGCTAGGGATCTGATTTGACTGCACATCAAATAGCATTCCTGGGAAATGCAGATATTTAAATTCTGAATACTGTAAAAGCCAGTTTCTTACAAGGCAGGCTGTTCCTTCTGCCATTTTTCTACACCAGAAGCCATAATATTTCTTCTTATGTAAAACTGGTTTGAGTCCTTTCTGTTTTCCTTACAGCTTTGAATTTTCTGTCTAACCCCATGGACTTGCAGGAGAGCTGGAAGTACAGAAAACATAAAAGTTCAGTTCCTTTTGGGTACTGTATTGTGGAATGGCAGGAAGGAAAGTTGCCATTGTTTGGTGAACTTAAAAACAGACTCTTAGTCTGACCAGTAGAGCTACACTCGTAATGTAATCTCATAACAGTACAGTCTAGACAGCTTGGAAGACATTTTCTACCCCTATAAAACTTGCCTAATGTACAAATTGAACTACAGACATAAATAAAGAAATCAGAGTTATCCTGGAGATGCCAAGACTCTTGCAGAGAGAAGGTATCTCCTAGCTCTGAAAGCCTTCATTTCTTTCTCAGCAATTACAATAAATAAAATTATGCCCTACGGATTGTGACATAAAGACCTTGGTGAGAAGTGTGGGCAGTGAGGGTAACAGAAATAGATTACAGAATGATCAGGCTTGCTCTGTGTGCCTGTTGTTTGATCAGTTTGACAGCAAGGGCTACACCTATCTGAAGCCTTTTGGCACCACCAAACAGTATAAAAGTTGTGAAGGCATTTGTGTCCCTCTGTGCAGTCATGTTTTTTATCTCTCTGTTCAGCCTCCTTGTGTTTCTGAGGTACCACATCTATTATGGTTACCCCCTGGAGACGTACCTGGAGTTTCCTGTCGTCATTGCACAAGGTAATTTTTGTAAGGCATGTTTTGGAAATGGAATGGGGCTCATTCAGCACTCCAAGTCTCTGCATGTAAGTACAGTGCTCCACTGCAGTGATGCTGGACTTGGGGGAAAGAGGGAATTAACATCTTATATAAAACTGAATTCTTTTAAATGCTGTTGAAAGAGATGGTCAGGTAGAGGAGAAAAACCTAATTATTACACAGAGTCACAGTGTAAACTCATCCTTTTGTCTGGTTTCTCCACATGGGAGAGAAACATACTAAACACTCCAGACTCTAAGGAAAGCTTAGTTTTGGAGATTGCAGTATTTTGGCCATCAATCACATTTGAGAGACAAAGCTGTAAGAAAGGAGTTTCCACAGACCTGGTGCCCAGTGGAACTGTCTGGGATTGTGTTTGGGCCCCTTCAGTCCTTTCTGTGACAAGCCACCTTTTGTTTATTGCAGATGTCATTCTCCTTGGCTGTATTATGCATTTCAGTGGAAAAGTGAGACGAGCTTGTTTCTATGCACTCGTGTATCCTTTGAAATCTGGGAGGTTTGGTTTATGTGGCTTGTTTGGTAATTCTTTGCATGGCAGCTGTGTCATCATTTGTTGTGTGCTACTATTGTAAATCATTCTCAGGCACCTCTCAACATGTATTCCACATTCCTGTGCTGATTTCTGGGATCACAGTAAAACCTCTGCAGGAAGTAAGCTTTATATGTTTGCTCTGCTTTAGAAGGCTCCCAACTGATAAAGAGTAAACTAAGTTCTTAATTTACATCTTTTCTACAGGGATGCAGAGTAGAAATATCAGATTTTTTTTTAATTATTTTTTTTTTTAAATTCCTACTCCTGCAGGTTGTACTTACAATAAAGACAGCACTGTTTGGGTTTTTTCTAAATAGGACTTGGGTTTAAATCTCAAATCTTGTGCTTTGGAGCAGGTTTTGAGAAACTCCAGACACTATTTGACCAAAGACAGTGTGAAAAATAGGAACACTTAGTGTTTCAACCAGTTTTGAATATGTTTTATCTCGATTGTATAGTCTGTTAAGAAGTTTCAATAAGATTATTTCCAGATGTTTAAAAAAATATTATTCCCCAGGCAGTTTTGAGAACTTTGTATCCTATAATTTAAGTGCTATGAAACTTAATGTAATATAAGATATTGGGTGGGTTGGTATATGATAACACTGCAGAAGTGGATAATAGACCTGGCCATGGTAAGTGCTACGTGATTATCTGAAATTACATTACATCTTCACAGAAAATGACTTTTTTTTTTCTGGAAGTATTTATTAGTGGACTCTCTCCTATATAAATGTACTTGGAAGAATTTGTCATTTTAGTTAGCTTTCAGCATAACCAACCAGTTTTCAGATACAGGTTCTTTCTTTTGCAAGTAGCTGGAAAATAGCACTCAAAATTGAGACTCTGTGGGGGTTAAAAAGGCATGTTCTGAGATAAGTTGTTACTTGGTGGTGCCTTAATTAAAATTAGCAAATACTTAAAATGTTGAAATTCTACTGCCACTTTGGTCCTAATGTCATAATCCCAACCAATATGCCTTTAACACAAGAGGGAGAGAATAGAGCATCAAAGCATTGAAACAGGGATTGTGACATATTTCTTTTTTCCCCTTTAGTCATACAATGTTGCAAGAAAAAGATAATCTGATGACACCTACAAAGGTTAAAGATGGTCTTTTCTTAGCAGGAGAGAGAAAGTAAAAAAGTAATTGAGATGAACAGGATCTGCTCATGCAAAAGATGATACAGATGGGGAGAAAAGCTTCCAAGCCCTACACTCATCCTTACTTGCAGCAGAAATCCAGGCATGGCACAAAGGCCCGTGTGGAGTTCTTGCTGCCTTTGCAAAATCCCCTTTAAAAGGGGGACTGAGTGAATAGTGCATTCCTGTTACTATTTTTTCCCTCCAATTGGACTAATTTTCCACACATTCTTGTCAGTTTTCTCATTCCTTTATGGTTTGGTTTGCCAGACGTAATGGTAACAGATGGTCTGAATCAACCTTGCTGTTTAGACTAGGTCATCTCATTTAGGTGACTTCTGTAAACAGTTTTATGGAGCAGGTTGAGAATCCTTTTTTGTTTCCTTGCTTCTTACTGCATTTGCCTCTGTCAAGCATTTGTCAACAACAGTAGCAACTGTGCTCTTTGAGCTTTTTGCTGGGCAGTACCTCAGAAATGAGTCCTTGTTTCTGGCAGTCCCAGTTTTTGCTTCACTGCTCCTTAGTAAGAAGCCAAAGCACTTGGGTTGCCACATACTGGAAAAGTGTCAATTTTTTTTTAATTCTAAATGAAAAAGCTTCTCCTATTCAAGTAATACCATGGCAGAGGTTCTCTCTCTTTTTCACCTGCTTTTCAGAATCTGTGCACACTCGTCAGTGCAGCCAGTAGGCTGGTTCAGCTGCAGCATCTCTGGGAGACCAAGGATGCCAGACAAGCGAATGCCCTGACCTGGGGCATGTCTGTGTACGCCTCTGCAGGTAAGCTACAGACAGCTTGGTGTGAAGTACCGAGTTCCTGAGTTCTCCTAGTTCCTTTTTTCATAGGTCTTTACTCAGTCATAGCAGGTGAAGATCTTGGCTTCGTTTCCCTCAGTGCTGACACCTGGGACTCAGATAACACAGTCTCTTGAAAACAAGTTTTATCTTTGACACTAGTGATAAAAACCAATGACTTAAAGTGTGAATATGACCAAGAGAACTGGAATTGAAATAACTGAAAGATTGTCTTTATGAGGAAAACTTTTCCATGTTCTATGATTTAATAAAGTTACTAGTGGTCCAGCATGAAAATGTGCTAAAATTTCAGGTATACAGTCAGACAATGCTAATTTTGAAAAGCTGTCTACAAATAAATACACACTTTAACTGAATGCCTTTAACTCTATGGCTACTTGTAATTACATTTCTTGACAGAATTTATGAACAGTCATTTGTAGAGTTCCTGTGGCAATTCCCCAGTGGTCTGCAACAACAGCTGTTTGTCAGAAGTGCCTTTTGCATCTTCACAAAACTAATTTGAAATATTCTCACAATAAAACCCATCATCCAGTGATGCTGGATCTATTTCTACATGAAAAAAGTCAGTAATTACAAGTGATTACACTGTGATAAACAGCGACAGTAAACTTTATAAATGCTTTTACTCTGCTGCAAGCGTGAAATAATTAACATTTAGGTTCCTTGTGGGAAGGGAAGCTGAATTCCTTGTATTTGCAAAACCTGAAGGCACACATGTGAACATTCCCAATGGTTAAATCATGCTAACTCAACTGTGACTGTAGCTCATTGTCAGCTCCTGAAAGAGGGGCTGAACAGAAAGAAAAGCAGTAAAGTGACCACATCCAGTCTAGAGTGATAGATGTAAAAATTCTAATTATACCTGTGATTTTCTCATTTAAAAAGACCCTTAATATATTGTCAGTCAGCTTTGAGAGCTTGATCTCCGAAGCCAAAATAATGAAGAGTGGACAGAGTGGACACGCTAAAAGTGGGAATGTGTACAGTAAATATTTTCATGCAATATGATCTTCTGTTGAAAACCAGATATTTCATAATTTTTTAGAAGTATAAATGTGTCCTATGTGTTCCACTAATCAGAATTCATTCAATTTACAGCAAGAATTATTACAACTCTAATGACTACAAATGATTATGCAGGTGAGTGAAGTATGGAATTCTCTGCCTTTCCAAGGGAACAGCTGTCACAGTAGTCTTTAGTTGTGTTGCAAAACACTTAGAAAGTCTCACAAGAACAAACCATGAATGTGACAGCTTAGCATGGTGAGGGCAGGAGTTACACAGGCAAAGACATCAAGAAAAAAAAGCCAGAAAACTGTTTATACTTGTCATGTCGTGCAACTGGTCCAAAAGGCTTTTTTTTTTTCAAATGACAAAAGCATTACGAAATTAATTCTGAAAATAGCAAAATAAAGTATTAAAATATTTACTATTTTAATAAATAAATAAATAAATATACAAAAAAAAGTTTAAAAAATCTGTAGTAATTGAATGAGATTTTCAAGTGATAAGTATTTCACTTATTGACAGCTTTTTGAATTAAAAATTTATTTTACAAAACTAAAAACTAAAACTAGTTTGTGAACAGTTTTAGGTCCAACATTGAAAAGTTTATGGCAGGCTGAAAATAAAATGGTAGGCTAGTAAGAAATTTTTAAAAACTGACTTAAAATATATAATTTCCAACAAATTATAAAACAGATTTATTTAGCAGCTTCTTACCGTCCTGGAAAACCACAAGAGCTAGGGAATATCACAGATTTTTCAGTAAATTGTTCAAAATCAAGGCTTGGTGGATGCAAGAACAGTAACAATGCCTTTGTACTTCATCTGGTGGTTCCTTGTTCTCATTCAAAACTATTTCATCAGAAACATCACTTGAATGGATTTTGTAATTTCCAAGCATCCTCTGCAGCCCAATAAAGCTGTAGCTTTGCAAGCATTTCAAATGGGTCATTCACTGCAAAGGGAAGTCCCATTTCTGGCCCACATTTCCACCCCCATGATTGCTGCTTTTTCTTTGCCAAGGTAAGGAGTTTGTGGGGCTCTGCAGTTAACTGGTCACCAAAATTTGGCAAAATGCTCATGCAGGGATTTGGTAAGGGTCAGGTGCTGAGTCCACATCACCCACAGCTACACATTTACACAGAGGGGGAGGGAGGGGTTCACTGTGCTGAGGGAGAAAACACCAGGAAAGCAAAGCTGGTGCTGGGTAAAGCTGCTGTTTGAAACACAGCACCATCCACTTTGGCACATGGAAGGGCCAGCAGCATCACTGATGCTGTGCTGCTCTAATGGAAAATGTGCCCCATTAAGCTGCAACACTGAACACATTGACACATAGGAAACAGTCAGGTATCACATTGTTCTGAAACAGAGTTTTGTGTACATTTCTGTGAATATTCCACCTACCAAACAGACATCAGACATACCTATACTTTAAATACCTTCTCACAGGTAGAGGTACAGTGCTGTTATGGTTTAAAGCTGATTTAACTCAGGTACTGAAAAACTGCTTTTTTGTCAGATTTTCTGTCATTAAAGTCTGACAGATCCAAGTATCTCCTGTCTTCTCAAAGTCTAAACTTAAGAGATAGCAGTAGAGAGTAGTTCCTTTATTATAAATAACACTCGCAACTATAAAGGACATGTGAGCTGTGACTCTGAATTTAACTTTTGGTGTACATATAAATTTATATGAGGCTTCTCATGCTTGTACTATTCTCCAGGTTACAAAAGAATTAAAGGTACTGAAGTGTATAATTTTGAGCTATCTCTGAAAGTGATCAAGTGCTAAATGCTTGGATTCGTGCTCAGTATGTGTGTATTCCTGAACATGGTAATTGAAACTAATTGGCTGAAAACAGTTTCCAAATGTGAACCAGCCTGTGTGTACACCAGCAAAAGTTTACAAACCAGTGTTGTAACAGCAGTTGATGTTTTTGATTTATGCTTACAATATTTTTTTTCTCTTTTAGTTCTCATCCGTTTCATAGTCATGCTCATTCTCAATATTTGGGTCACAGCCACAATCCTGCACTACAGGAAGATTAAAAAGACTGATTAGACGACACTCATCAGCACACATATCATTACCATAAAAAAAAATATAATTAAGCCTAACGAATTTAAGAATTCTTCAAAGACTGAGGAAGCTCTCTTTCTCTAGTATTTACCCTTTAGCGTACTTATAGTATTTACAGTACTTACAGACTTACAGTATAGCACATTCATGCTTTCTTTCTCTTAGAAATAATTCTGATAAGATACTTAATTTAAGCAGCATATTTTTATTGGTCATTTCAGACAAGTTTCACTGATATCACATTTTCTCTGGATTTTTTACTACAAGGTATTTCATAGTTAGATGTATATATATTCTGGTATCACTTCAGTACTTTCTGGTTACATATAAGCAATTTTCTTCAAATTATACATGATCAATTTTGCACCAACATACTGACTTGTCCTGCTGCAAAACTGTAAAACCACAACAGAAGTTTGTCTTCTTCTTGCAACTAACTCAATTAGTTCAACATTAACTGTCTGTATTTTAGGATGAAGAAAATCTGAGTCAAGGCCCAATCCAGAATAAGGTTCTAATTACTAAATCACAAATCCAGTTGGATTGTAGCACTTACATGCAACACTTAAATAGTACAATTTATACAGCTGATACAGGATACCCATAGTCACTTTCCTCAGCATACCCAGTTTTTATTGGATAAGAGAGCAAAAACTCAACTACAAATTATTTTTCAACCTGAACTGTCATTCACTGAACATACTAGTTTTGGGAACAGCAGGGACAGGAATGTATGGGAATTAATGAAACTGTGGCCAACAGTTAAAAATACCATTCAAGCAAAAGTTCCTGGAATGATATCCAGAATTCCCAAACACCACCCATACTGACAGTGACATGTGCACCTTGATGCATCTCAGCAGACTGATCTCCTGCAGTTGTCAGGTTTTGGTGATACTGCTCTGTGGTTCATGAATTTTTGGCCCGTCAGTGCTAAGTGTGTTGAAGAACATAGACTTCACTTAAACTTTTACTTCAGAAATTCTAATAAATTTTGTAGTACTTAGAGTAAAAAAGGGGAAAGGATATTCTTGACAACTATTAACAGAGGATTTTGGTTTTGAAAGTACTGCCTTCACAACCAAAAGTTACATTAGTAATCATACAGCTTGCCTTCATTTAGCATTACATTCCCCAAAATTAAAAGATACAACATTCCAAGAGTTCTTATGGTATTCTGTTGATTGGCATGTAAAAAACCTAGGCACCCTTGATCCCAACACCCTTGAAAACTATGGGAAGACTGCATTGACTCCATTTGAGGCAGGTTTTCTTCAAAACATTCTAAATTGTGTGACTGCTGTGGAGCAGAGGGATCTGCAAAAGCAGATGTTTCTGCCAGTGAGCACGCAGCAATTGGAGCATTCACCATCAGAAAGCAACTGCTTTGTACTCTAAATTTTAGTGGGAAGGGCTGGGAAGAGATGTGTCTGTGGGCAGTGATTTCATGTATCCCACATCACTGACAGCAAGTCAAAGATGAGCTTTTCTTTACTGCTCCAATAAAAAGTCAAATCTTTCAATGTTGGTTGAAAGATTAATTGTAAACATTCTGATTTTACTAAATGTGTGTAAAGTATCTGAAGTGGTCTAAATGGTGGCAAGTGGCATGTGATACGTTTTCCAGGTGATACTAATAAATGCTATTTTTCAAGATTGATAGTGTCATTCTTAGTTAATTTTCATTGCATTTGAGTTTTTATTGTTTATTGTTCTCTCCATATATGGAGAGAAAATGAAATATTCATTACAGGTCATAAATGGGCAGCTTTCACCTTAACACTTGAAGCATCAGGCTGAATAGTGACCTGCCAAATGCTAAAGAGCTCCAGCATCTTAAAATGAAAAAAACCCACACTTGCTTTTTAATTAAAGCCTTTTCTTGACAGAGAAAGATTTGTATGGAATTCAAACCCTCTCTGTTATTGACATCTTTCACTCCTGAGTGATGCTGTAGCAAGATGAAGCTGCTCCATTTTTGGTTTGAGAATCAGCACCTCAAGATGGTTTTTTATCATAAAATACTGAAATATTCTTAATAGGTTACTTAATGCATTTTGAATAAATCACCTTAGAAACCTGTGGGAAAAAAAGACTGAGAAAAAAAAAAGCTGGGTAATTAGTGAACTTAAGGTAAAGTAATTTTGTGGACTTGGAAAGCTGGATCAATTCAAGTTGCAAGAGATATGGAACAAATCAGAAACTAGCAGTAAATAGTTGTACACACTTTTTCCTCTCTCAGAGAGTAACTTTCATAAACAGAGGCACATTCAAATTCCAGGCAAGCCCCATGAAAGCGCAGGCACTGTGTTTTCTAGTAGGTAAAGTATAATCTTCTCGGTGGCTGGATTAAAGGCAACAGCTTTAGACAAACACATAGGCAGGATAAATCTTGTTAAACTTGTCATTCACCAGTATCAGGGTGGAAACAGGGAGGTCATTGGCTGTGTAATGCAGCAGCAGGGCAAAAGCAAGCAGGGAAAGCATCTTGGATTTACGGCAGAAGGTGTAAGCAAGTAAGCAGCTCTTGTCCACAGGGCTGGAAGTAATCCAGCCCCATTCACAGATGCTGTACAGGTGTGGAATTACACACTCGGTGTCTAATTGTACCAACATGCTTACAAGGCAACACAACCTGTCCTGCCCTGGCTGACAAAGTGTGTGTCTTGCCAGGGCTTTCAAAAACTTTGAGTCTTCTTGTCTGTGAGAAGACGAGCTCTGAGTTCCAGTACAGTCCACTAAATTACCCCAGTACCTCCAGCAGTGGCTGTGACAAACTGTGACTGGATTGGGCAGCAGGTAAGCTAGAAGCTCACTTCAGCTGTATGAGAGAAAACATTTACCATGAGATTTCCTATCGAAAGAATGAGGATGTGAGCCCAGAGACAGCAGGCTGCAGGTCTGGACATGGATGTGGACAGGGGAAGAGGTGTATAGTTCATTTTTTCTGGACTGTCCTCAGTGAACAAACATTGAACACAAATGCAAACGCATCCTCTCCCCTCCCTATGGGCCTCCCTTAGCACTGGGCATTCTGTGCGAAGCAGACACAGATCTTTCCTTGTGCAATCCACCAAGGGATGGGATTGCTTGGACTGCTCAGGAGCCCCTGTCCCTGCCTGAGCTCCGAGCCTCTGTCTGCCTTACGTGCACGTGGCTGCTCCCCAGCCTGGCTCTGCTCAGCTGATCTACTGAAACACAAGAGAAAGGAGTGGGCTGGGAAGGCAGTGACAGCCCCCAGCCGCTGCAGGCTGAGAGCTGGATTTTAGTGCAGTTTGACTCTGGAGAAAGTAATTCAGAATTAGCTGAATGGCCCCAATCTTATAGAACACCTTCACTCACTTCTTTAAATGTGGTAAAATTACTCTTCCTCCACCAAACAATCATCCACTTAGTGACATATGTAATAGGGGGAAAACAAAAAAAGGAAATAACAGCTGAGTCCACACAACGAACTATTGTAAATGAAAAACTCCACAGATGTGGAGATAACTGATATGAGGTAGTTTCCCAGCCATGTATTTTCCCTGATGATAAATAATAATGACTTCCCTCCAAATTCTCATCAGGCTGGTTTTAACTCTCTCTTCCAAATTCTTCCATACTTGAAATTCTTATTTATGTATGAAGCAGAACATGAAATGTCACTGTCATCACTAATAATGGTCTAAGGATGTCTCACTTTTGAAGGTGAGGAAACTGAAAAAAAAAAAAATAGGATGTTCTAAAGTTCTTGGTTTGTACTAAATTAAATTTGCTGGATTTTGAGCCAGCATTCTCCAGGACACTTCACAGTTCTCGGTGATGACAACTGTTGAGGTCAAACAGGTGCCTGGGAGCCACAATGAACATCACTGTAAGAATCTGACAGATCATCACTTGTGATGGATCCAACTACAAGACCTTGCAAGCCTCACAGACCTGAGTCCTGATGGACCTCAGGTGTTTCCTGCCTAGTGGCAAGACAGACATACAGTCATTTTCAAGTTAAAGGTGTCAGCTATTCCATTCTACATTGGCAGTAGTTTGGGGCAGCCATCTGTGTCTTGGAAAAAAAATTCAATCTTTGGGCTAGGAGTAAAGTAAGAGATTTTTACATCATAGTTTTGATGAAATTTAATTTGGGATACTTGAAGAAGAGTTTAAATAATTGTCACAATTTTGTTCATACCCTGTTTTGTTTCATTATTTTATCTTAGAACTTTCTTAAATTGTCAGAAGCCTAAACAGGTACCTCTGTGCATTATGTGGTATCACTGACTCACAGGGAGGGAGCTTTAAGAGGGCAGACACTTTATCTGTCAGGTATTCTGGAAAACGATGTAAAGAACAGAACCTGCACCTGTCTAAAATATGACAAGTTAAGTTGGCTCATGATGGTTCTGATTCAAACTGTGTAGTAACAAGGCTCCGTGCTGAAAATCAATTCTACTTACTACCCTATTATAATTGCAAGTCATCTGTGTATATGCCTGCTCTGGAATGTACAAGATTTCTGCTTTGGAATGCGAAGGCTTTGGCCACCACTACCAAGACTCATACTATATGAAAATCATAAATGGAGTAACACACATCCTATGCCTCACTGTTGCCTCTGTCAGGTAAATCTTAATGAAGCACGAACTGAGCTTCAATAAAGCATATTTTAAATAATTACTGGAGAGAAGTTCTTTCACCTTTGAACAGCTGACTATATACAGATCCTGTACAGTGGTCTTTCAAGAGTCTGACTTATTTTGTGAGGGTTTTTTTCCCCCATGAAATGCACTGTCAGCACAACTTACATTCTTCATGGACTCTCTGAGCTCATGGGCATTTTCGTCTCTCGGCCATGTTGGTTTTTTTAATTTGCACAAATGCCTACAAGTAATACAACTCCCATTGCCGTAGCTCAGAACAGAGCTGGCAGGGGAGCCTCTCCCCATGGCTCCAGATTGGACTAAAGGCTACGCAGATCCTACTGAGTCTCAAGTGGCCCCCAGGACACAGGGACTGTAATATGGTGGAAAACATCACACAGACGCATGAGACCATGGGACCAGCAGGCAGATCCAAGTCCTGAAGCTGCAGCCAGACCTGCACTCAACTGCAAGGCCTGCTCCAAGAGCCTACCAGAAAATGGAACTGTTGAGGTCAGAGACAGTGCAAGGTGAGCCAGTATGAAACAGAGCTCAGACCTCAGGTGGGGTATGCAGCTCCTTCAGTCTTAAAAACATAAAGGGATTTAATATCTCAGGTAACTCCAAAACAAGTTTCTATCAGTTCACTTGTTAATAAAAAGTAGCACTTATTGAAGGCAATTCAGTGCCCAAAGTCTCAGCAGTTGGTGATGCAAAGGACAAGAGGACTGGCTGTGATCTCACAAGCCTGGTGTGCAGTCGCTGGATAGCCATGCTTGCCAAGTGGTGCAAGAGCATCCTGGGCTATTGCAAAAAGCACCCCAAACAGTAATGACAAATGACAAGAACTACATGACATGAGGCCCACAGGGACAGTATGCAGAGAAGCAGGCACACACCTCTGAACAAACACTGGAGGCCTTGACCTTAAAATGAGGTGGTAAGACTGAAGGATCTCATGCAGTTGTCTTGGCTGTGGAAACATTTCTGTGCAGCTCCTCCAACAAGTAAGGGCTGCAGGGACATGGTATTATTGGACTCTGCCCTTTCTTTTCAGGGTGATGATGTGTTTTTCCAGAGTTCTTTAAGGTATCAAGACTACATACACTTATAATTTAAATTTTGAGACCTTTCACCATGACTTTCATTTTGAAAGCTCACTTTCATCTTGCACCTTCTACAAGATTATTGGAGCAAAAGCAGCTGCAGTCAAATCCACGGCTTCACCCTTGCAATATTGCGTAGTAATGTGGGTTTCTTACCTTTAAAAAACACTGCTTCCTGCCCACAAAGTGGCATAGATTCCACACCCCAATTTTCATTAATAAGACCTGGTAATTAGCATCCCTGTGCCAATACATTATTTTCTCTACATCCCCACTTCTTAAGAGCTATGTTACAGCTACAGCTTTTCCATTCACTGCAGTAGTTTCTGGGGAGAACTAGGCTGGATGTGTTTTGAGTGTTCTTCTCTGCCACACACATTGCAGTAGACTTGTCCAGTTTCTCAGATGAGAATGTCTGAGCATGTATACCTGTCCAATTTTTAGGCAACTTCAATATCGAACACAAATTGTATTTTCAGAACCACTCCATCAATATCTTTTATGGAGATTAGAAAGAAGAATCCTTCCCACCCTCATGAGGGGTACTTCAAAGCAGCAGGCAAACTCTGTGATCGTTGGGATTCTGATAGAACCCAAAATGATTCAGAAGATTATCTTAAAAAATAAGAAATAATGTTTTCAATTTAAAGTGTACTATGTGCAGAGATGATTATTTGTGAAAAACTGTAATGCACTGAGAAAGGCACCAAGCCTGTCAGAGGTCAAGGAGTGTCTAGATCATGCTTTTAGTCATATGGTTTAGTTTTAGGTAGTTCTGTGAGGAGCAGAGAGTTGGACTCGATGATCTTTATAGATCCCTTCCAACTTGATGCATTCTATGATTACATGAGAAAAAAAATTAATCATTATTGTAACACGAATGTCAAGGCAAACTACCCAGGAATGTGGAGGAGACTGAAATACTCCAGTTCACTGAACTGGACCTTGTTCTTCCGCCTCAAAATCAGAATAAGGAGGTGATTAAGGGTTTGTATGAGCAATGCAGGTAAGAAGTTTGCTTTCATATAAGCTCCCCCTTTTCACAGCATCCCATATACAACCTCACAAGCACAGGATGGGTAAAGGCACTTGGGACCAAAAGATATAATTCTCTTTTAAGGATTCTCTCAAAGCTAGATGGGAAATTAATACATTGTAAGATTACAAACAGAAAGGCTCAAATTTCTAATGATCATTCAACATTAGAAACAAAAAAGAAACTAAAGAGAAAAAGCCCATAATTTCAGTGGCAGCTTTCCTGGCCTTGCTGCCTTCAGAGAGCCACTGAATGCCTGTCAAAATGTAGGAGGTTCAGTGTTTTCAAGAGGCAGTAAGAGAAAGTAAGTGAAATTTCAGTGATGTTTTAAATTTGGCCCCTGTCACCGCTAAGATCTTTGAGTCTCTTGCATGTTTCCAAGTCCTACATCCTACTGTGATTCTGTGTCATGTTTTTGGTTACAGCATCGGCCATGCTCAGAAGCACAAGAACCACCACAGTTTTCCTCTAGTTAGAAGCAGACCTGGTGCTGGGTTGCTGGCAGTGCTGGAGGAGCTGCACTTTGGCAGGGACCACAAGAGGTAGGGAATTGCAGCACACAACTAGGACAGAAGTGGAAATCTCATTGCAGAAACGTCTTTCTGACACCTGACAAGGTAACTTCAGTGGGATCTGCCTGTCCTTCTGTTCTGGTGAGCTCTTGGGACTGGGAACTAAGGAACAATTTCTGTACAAGTGCCTTGAGCTTCTGGCTCCAACTCTGACCTCTGGTTTTCCAGAAGATTAATCTGCAGCTTGGCTATACCACTTCTTTCTGTTTGTGAGACAAAAGGACTTGCAATGAGAGAATTTTCTATAGGAAAGTCATTCAGGCCATAAAAATGTCCTGTTTGCTTAGGACAAGACTGTAACAAAAAGAAAATGTTAAAACATCACTGACTTTCAAGTCAAATACTCCTTACTTCATGAATGTGCCCTTCTCTCAAAAATATTAACAGGTCACCACTAGACAATAAGGAAACAACACAAAACTCCAGGAACTAGCATTAAAGAGGTGTTTGCATTTCACAGCAGGATAAGGGAGAACAGAAGAGCAGCTCTGCCTTCTTTTTGTGTGCTGGGTACAAAGTGAGGTTTGTGCACCTCAGCCCAGGGGCCTTGAGGAAGCCATGCTAACTGAGCTCTCAGGAGCCCAGCGCTCCCTGAGGCCCGAACTGCTCCCCGACTCCGTCTCAGCACAGCCTGCTGTCCGCACAGCTAAGGACTGTTTGTACAAGCATGGAATTCACACACTGGGACTAGCAATACTATCATATAGTACATCTCCGAAAATGTCAGGCTCAGCAGGGCCCCGTGGACTCACAGTAAATGAGGGCAAGCCAGGGAAAGAAAGTGCAAAGGATCCAGCCCCAGCAGTGGAGGAGCTGCCAAACAGCTCCCTGGAATCTGCTCTTTCTCCAAACACACAGCCTTTGCTGGGCTGCCTTTGGAGCAGCCCTTGCCTTTCCCATATCTGCTGCAGTAGTTATCTTTAGATTTAAATATTTCAATTAATTACCAGCTTCTCAAGTTCAGGAACTATTTTACCTTACTCAAATAGTTTATTTAAAAATATATATATATATATATATAATATTCTCCAATTCAGAAAAGGATAGAACTTCCCACAATGTAACATTTTTTATATATATATATAAAATATTTATGCATTCAGTGAATGGAAACAGTTTTACTGTACACATTTTTAATGTTGTACTCTATGCAAATCTGCATTATCTAAAAATATACCGTACTTCTGTAAATCAAAATAAGCAGGGAAAAACCACCGTAGCTTTACTGTGGGTTATAATACCTAACAGAAATGATATGAAAGTTTTAGTTTTGAATTTAAGAACTCACAAACAACATTTTACTTTGTGAGCACATAAATAGAAGACTGAATACATTCTTGCTTTGTTAAGCTGAACTGTAGTAGAGGTTACAAAATGTAAATATATTTATTAATTTTCAGTGTTTCCAAGTCCACTTTTCATGATAGTGTTAAATAAAACATGGTCCTATCCTTCCAAACATTTCAACACTCTTTAAAAACAAAAACAAACAAACAAAATTTTAAAGTGAAATGTCCTCCTTCATTGAAGTGTTAGATCATATTTTAAATTACTGCACTCCCACACAATATTTTATATATATATATATTCTAAATATATATATATATTTATATATATATAAAGAGACCAAATAGGAGACTACATTTTTTTACTGTCAATATGTTTAACATCACATACTGTAGTTGTATAAAACATGCATTTTCTGGGATAATTATGAACACATCATGAATGAGCCCATATATATTATATTTTTTGTACAACTCCAAGTTAAAAAAAAAGTCAGAATAAGTGCCTCTGAGGCCCTTTCTTCCCAGCTATCAGTTCTCAAAACACACTACTGAATTTTTTTATCTATGCCTACAGCTATGTGCTAGAGAACCAGGTTAAAACTTTAAAATACATCTACAGTATGTTTCACTTTTCTTAAAGTTTGTGACAGTCCTCAGATATTGTGTTGTGAAATGTAAAAATAGTCACAGATTCTTTTATTTTCCAGAAATAAAAAAAAAAAAAACACATCTAGGAGAGTATGCAAAAACAAGGCAAAATGAAGTTTCATAGCACTTAATGAGGGTTAATATAAGTCAATAAGGAGTATTGAGGTTTGTAAAAAGGGCTGGATGAGCAGTTACATGTACAAGCAAATGGTCTGGTAAATCCCATGCTCTCAGACATTGTTTCTGTAACCAACACTTCTCCACCCTTAAAACCAGTTGATATACATTCAAAATAGATTGACACTGATATACTTAATAGGTGTAAAAATAGTGCACTATTTTTTCTGCCACAAAGCAAAACTGCATCCTAAGAGCTGGTAAACTTTCTTTTTCCTTAAATAGAAAGAATGGGCAAAAAAAAGTTGAAAAAAATTTAAATTAAGGCAATTAGACAGGTACAAGGGGACTGCCCATGATGATGTAGCTGAAACTAGTATATACTTCAAACCTATACTAGCTGCTGAACACTGACATGCAGCTTCTGATAGATGTGTATGAATGATATAAACTTCAACATTATGGCTTTATACAAGTGCATAGTTGCAACTGCAATAAGTAACGGTATCTGATTAATAAGCATAAAAAAATAAAGTGGAAAGATTTTTAAACCCCTCTTGCAGTATTACAGTACAATATATTTACACAGTTTAATGGTCACTTCTCACAGATGCAGTCTCTATCACTGTGGTGGATCCTCCTCCGGTTCTACGTGCAGACATGCTGGTGGCATCTTTACCAAAGCTGAAAAGTCAGTTTCTTCCATTGCAATACTCATTCCTCTCGATCCTTTTATGAAATGTAGTGTATGTGTCTTGCCAAGAAAGCTTTTGTGGAACAGAGCTTAAAAGGTTACCTAACATATCCTTTGACTATTTACCAACCATTCCTCAACTGATCAGTCACTTGGGAGAATACAGGAAAACCCTCAGAGATTAGTAATTTATATTGCAGCAAAAATGTAAACCTCTGATATATATAGTACAATCTCTCAGGAAAATATATATTTTTAATATATTTTGGGATATGTTTCAGTCTTGCTGTAATGGGAAGAAAATTATCACCTTGACTGTGTCTGCATTCACGGAAAGCAGTTAGCTGAAAAAGAAGCAGGAAGTTTGGTCAGTAAGTGCAACAAATGTAAATCTGACAAAAATATATTTCTTCAAAGTCTTCCTTTATAATGGGTTCATCATTGTACTTGTGAGAAGCGCCTTTCCTCTGCATTCAACAGCAACGTTACTCCAGTATAGCACATCCTTACACACTGTAATCCCAAATCAATTAAACCCCCTTGCAATGCATGAGGGTAAAGTACAATATGCACAGTGTAATAGTTACTTCTAAAGGATTAGTGATCAGTAAGCTTTTAATACACAAAGATGCAGAATATTTAATTAACATAATGCTCATTACTGTGAACACTAAGCCAGTTAAGTTCTGCCAGAGCTGGTTCCTCAGTTCCCTGAGCACACAGCAGAGGAGCAGCCCCAGTGCCACTGTTATACAGCTGAGACATACCTCACATACTGCTTAAAACAATTCTTAGGCATTTAACATTTAGGTTTTTTCTGTGAAAATATAAGATTGCATCAATGTGTGAAACGATCAGATCCTGAGGTCTATAAAAAAGGTAAAGCTATTTGCAATACATCCAGAATTAAGCCATGGGACAAATCAGATCACTGCACCAGCGGGATGTTTCTAAAGCAGTCAAGGAAACCACACCACAGAAGCTGCAAACCCATCTGTTTACATAGTTGTCAAATGCCTGGTTAGGTACCCAGAAAGCACAGCACTGCAAAGGAAAGCCAAATCAAATTCACTTCAGAACAGAGGTAGAAAAGCAAAATGCAGAACTCCAGTGATTTCATGTCTGCTAGCCATAGACCATTTTATATTCAAAGCTTAGAAATGAAAAGTAAATACCAAGTCTACTTCAGCTAAACATCCAACTGCTACCATCTCCCTTTTATCCTTCAAATATTCAATGCTGAGGTTCCCAGTATTAGCATTAGAGATGAGCAAGGACCCTGAAAACAGCAGTTTTGGGGTTTTTTTCAGGCAGGCAGACATGAATTTTGAAAAAAAAGTCTAAAATTAGAAAAATAAAAACACTGGCAAAGGCAACAACTTTGTTTTAATGAAAATGACTCCTCTAAAAGTTCAATATGATGAACAGAATCTCATTTTTCTATTTAAAATTTTAAAATGAGATCTTGTATTTTCTCTGCTTTGAGAAACAAAATCCAACATAGCATGCTGTATTCAAAGGCAAACAAATCCATTCCTCTCTATTTAGATTTACCCCTTATACTTCTTCAGAAATCAAAAACATCGTCATCATCATCATCACCATCAATATCATCAACATCATCAAAGGACCAATCCCAGTCCTTAAATGCCAGATCAAGTAATCTGCAACAGGAGGGTTTGATGTTTAATGAGTGTCACACTTCTATAAAAGATTGAAAATTCCTTTTGCTATCACTAAACCTTTTTAACTGAAAGACTGTTTAAGGTAGGTGGGTTTGTTCCTTTGCCTACCACGAGTATGAAGATACAGTTAGTGTTCGTGAAAGTTATGAATATTGCATTAATTGCAAATCCATCTCAAAAATAATTCTATTCAATAAAGAACTCTTACCATATTGATTTTTTCCCCTAGAATTTCAGTAGGAAAGACCAACATGTACCTTTTATAAAATTATTTGCTTTCTGTTTTGTTGCTGTTTTTGCTGACTGAGGTGGTTTTATGCTCTTCTGCTATCCCCTTCCAGACAATAATGCAAACCTAACAATTTTTCCAATTGTCAAGTAATTTTGAGTGCTGAAAAGAACATTGAATAAGATAGCACTTCATCTGAACCTACAAACAAACACAGCAGGATTTTACTGTATCCCAAAAACAGGGTGATTACACTGTGAAGCTATTCTGTAGCTTGTTATTTAAAGTTAAGCAATGCCAAAAAAGAGGATTTATCAACTTGTTGTCTAGGCCTCCCTGTCTGTGCTCCTTGTATGGTCACCATAGAACAAAGAAGGCAAGCAAGGCAAACCCTGTCAGCAAATGAGTCATTTTACTTATCTGAGGCATTTATTTTGGGATGAGGTGAATCATTGTCTAGAAGCACTCATCTCTTTCTGTTCTAATATCTTAAGTACTAACTTTTCAACTGCTATAGCTACAACAAATGAAACACAGCCTAGTCATCTCTCCAGTGAGCTGGAAGGATCCTAATTACGGTTGTATGCCAAGCACAGGATGCAGGCTGTGGAAAACCTTACCCTAAGAGAGCATCAATATAAACATGTTACATTGTTTAATATAGTTAATCACATGTTTTAAACAAAATGGGTTTCAGGGGAATTTGTAATTTCAGGCTTTATACTATTTAAACTTTTAAATGTGATATAGCCCTGAAAAGGCTCAATATTCATTTGTTACATGAACTACGAATATTACACTTAAATTTATAGGAATTAAAATACATGAAAATTGTTTTTTTTTTCTATTTGGAATTATCCATTTGGCATGACCCAACCAAATGGCTGAGAAGAAATTATTTGGTCTGTATGAAAAACTGGTTTGCTCTTTCTTAAATCCTCATGAAGAAAAACAGCCATGAAAGCCATCATTGTGGTTGTATGAAATTCCTAGCAGGGACAGCATTTTTAGGACCAGGCAGCTTGGAAGGAACCTGCTCCAAGCAGGGTCAGATATAAAACCAGCCCAGGATGCTCAAGACCTTGTCCTGTCAGGTGTTGAGAGCCTCCAGGGATGGAGCCTGTCCAGCCTCACTGGCCTCCCTCTCTGCATTGGCTTTTCCTTCTCTGCAGCTGCAGTGTCTCCTGGTTCAGGGGAGCCCCTTGTTTCTCACCATGCAGCACTGATGAGCCTGGCTCTGTCTCCTGGATGCCCTCCCCAGAGGCTGCTATGGGAGCCCCTGGGCATGTCCATCATCCAGGCTCAACAAGCCCAGCTCCCTCAGGCCTCTGCTCTGCCCATCCTGGTGGCCTCTGCTTGCTCCTTCCCCAGTGTGCTGAGGGCTGGCTGAATCTGGGGGCTCAGAGGTGGAGGCAGGGTTGTGCTGCACACTATGGAGTGGCCACAGGGGTATAATCTCTTCCCTCAGCCATCCAGCTGTGCTCCTCTTGGTGCAGTCCCAGGGCCTACCTGGCTGCCAGGGCCCACTGCTCAGTCCCTAGATTGAGCTGGCAACTACATCTCCATTCTTCATAAAGTTCATAAAGGAAAATTAATTATTTCATATGGTAAGCCCTTGCACAAAAGCCTCATAGAAGCCACACTGAGATATAAATTTACCGTAGCAATTACAGCTATTTATGAGTATGTGGTTTCTAATTAAAGGTGTTTAAATCCATACAAATTTCCACTGGTTTGACAGACCTGCATTATTCTGGTAATATGTGACATGACCTCACAGAACTACACTTTTCTTCTGTTAGGTACATTTGTGAGGCTCACTTGGAAACTTAAACTGAAGAATTACATGCTTTACACACAAAAACACTTACCCCCCTCCTTTTCCCACCAGTATAGAATGGTAAATACTATGCTATGAAAGCATTTTGTACCAAAGTTCAAGACTGAAAAAAGGGTATTGGAAGAAAAATAATTATTTGCAGAACACCTAAAAATAGCTATTGAAAAAAATCAGAATTTATCATATACCTTTATATGTTAACAGCAAGAAACTAAGTTAGACTGTAAAGAGCATGCAGAAGTGATCTACTTGTCCCCCAAATTGTCATGAATGTTTTCCTGATTCATGCTTTCAGTCCTATCACTGATATTTTATTTTTGCACAAAGAAACTCTTCAATAATTGGTCCCTAAAAAGTGATTTAAAAGCTTTTTTCCTTCATGATTATAATAAGTCTATTAATTTAAAATCCAAATTATGAGGTCTGATTCTCTTTAAAATATGTAAATTAAATCACCAAAAATTAGACTGTATGAAGGTTGGGAGGGAAGTGAAATTAAATTACTCTAAGTCCTTCCACTATGCA